GGTCAGATAAAGAGCTTCACAGATAAGGAAAAGCTAAAGGAGTTCATCACCCCCAAACCAGTATTACACGAAAGACTGAAAGGTATCCTTTAAGAAGAGGCAGAAGAAAAAGGTAAAGATACAAACTGTGAACAACAACCATGCATCTTCCACAAGTGAATCTAAGAATCAAGTGAATAAATATTCTGATGTACAGAATGAACTGGTGATTATAATGAATCAGGGACATAGAAAGGGAATAGACTGCCTATTCTTGGGGGGGGAAAGGGGAATGGGAGATTCGGGAAGAGACTGGACAAAAATCGTGCACCTAAGGATGAGGACAGAGGGTGGGGAGTGAGGGCGGAGGGTGGGGCGGGAACTGGAAGGAGGGGAGTTATGGGGGGGGGGGGAAGAGGAACAAATGTAATCTGAACAATAAAAATTTAATTAAAAAAAAAAAAGGAACCCCACTTTTAAAAATATATATTTTTATTGATTTCAGAGAGGAAGGGAGAGGGAGAGAAAGAAACATCAATGATGAGAATCACTGATTTGCTGCCTCCTGCACACCCCCTACTGGGGATCAATCCGGCAACCTGGGCATGCGCCCTGACTGGAATCAAACCATGATCACCTGGTTCGTAGGTCGATGCTCAACAGCTGAGCCACATGGGCCAGGTGGAACCCCACTTTTACTCTGCCTTAAGCTCCTCACGGGACTGGCTGAAACCTTCACACACTTGGCTCACCACAACCAGCAAGAGCAAGGGCACTGCCCGTAGACATGGGCCTGTGGAGAGGTGCCAGTACCCTATGGACACTGTGGCCTGCGCTGGGGAGTCCAGGCTGGAAGTCATCTTTACTGGCTGTGGGTCCTGAGTCCCATCTCTATGTAGGTTCTAGTACATCCTCGCAGCTCACCCACCATTTTGGGGGCAAGCCCTGGGTCCTGAGGTCCTGGCACTGGCTATGGTGAGCCCTCCTACCACCTGATGCTGAGTCCAGAGCTGGCCTTCTCCACTGCGTGGTAGCTCGTGTGCAATAGGCAGCTAGCACGCTCTGAGCCCTCGCCGTGCAGCCATTGCTCGTACAGCTCCTGGACCCCAGGCACATCCTCTGGTGCCTCCGTCCTGACCATGCTGTACAGCCTCTCCACATGCTGGAGGAGCTCCTTGCCGGGCATCTCGGGGGCCTTGAGCTGGCCTCCGCCGTTCAAGCAACCTGTGGCCGAACAGGATGGGCGAGGGTGAGGGCATGGCCATGGGGAGGGTGCTGGCACACCAGGAGTAAAGAGCCCCACAGGGGCCCCTGCACCACCTGTGAGTGGGTCTGCTGAGAGTACCTGAGGGGCAGGCCATGACCTCCACATAATGATATGGGCAGCGCCCTCGCTTGAGCTTCTGCACCAGGTTCTGGATGTTGCGAAAGCCGTAGGCCGCAGCGAAGTGCAGCAGGACCCGGCCCTCACTCTCCAGCGTCACCTCCTGGAAATCCTTGTTCCTGGGGAGCAGAGACCACCACGCTCATCCTCACCCACAGGCATGATGTCAACCTTACCAGCTCCCAGTGAAGGACAGTGACGGAGAGGGAGGGCAGAAAGCTTAATTCCACGAGTCAGCAGGTGACCACCCCAGATCGGTTTCCCGATCTGTAGAATGGGAACCCCGCTTCCCAAGGATGGCCATGTGGTGAAGTGAGGTCAGGCACAAACCCCTACCCTCCTTCTAAGATGGGATGTTCCAGAAGGACATCCTGTGCCGGGTTCACCACCCTGCCACCACTAGCCTCTCGGGTCTCTGGACTGCCATGGGGTGGGCAGGGAACCCCGACCTTTACAATAGGAAGATCAAGGCCTGGAGAGCTCTGGCCACTCAGGGGAGCCAGAGAAGAGGACCAGCTCCTGTCCAGTGACTCAGGATCTGCGCCAAACCCAGCTCACTGTCTTCCGCCAAGCCCACCTCAGCAAGGGGACCCAGGGCCGAGGCTGCCCCCACCTTAGCCCTTCCCACTGACCTCAGGGGTTTGTAGGTGACCTCATCTACGTGGATTCCAAAGAGCTCTCGGGCTGCATGCCGGAACACGTGCTCCAGGTAGCCCCCAGAGCCCCCACCTCGATGGCTGGTGGGCTCCTGAACAGACACGCTGCTGAACCTAGGGAGGAGAGTAAGGCCTCAGGTGGCAGCAGGCTGCTATCTGCTGCGGCTTCCAGGTGACCTCTGTCTCTCATGGTGGAGGGAGTTTGCTTTCTAAGTGGGAATGAGTCACAGACCCCTGGGGGCTTTGTTGGTGTGTCAGGAGGTGGGAGAAGACTGGCCCCCTCCACTGAGTCACCTGGATCTGGTGAGCTCAGACCTGTATCAAGTTGGTGTCATTTCTGATGACAGCTGCCTTTGTGGACACCAAGACAGACCACAGGGCGGGCATGGAACTAACCAGAAGGAAGCTATGGTGGGAAGAGGTGGGGAGGGGGACACTGCCCATTACCACATGCTTCGGCTGCCGGCCAGGACCTGCGACCCCCAATGTCAACAGTGCCCCGACACCGAATGTCTGTTCATCCCTTCCACTACGGCAGGTAGTGACTTACACACTGTCCAGCGGGGCTGGCTCCAGTTCTGATAGTGAGACCCCTTCTTCTTCCAGCAACTTGAAAACTTCTCCTGCAATGGAACCACAGCAGATGCTCATCAGCTGGGATTTCGGTAAAAACAGAGAATGCCAAAGAACACCCACATGCTCTGCACCCCTAGCAACCTGTAACTTGTCACCTGAGGCCTGGATGTCCACCCGCTGGCTTGTGGGTAGAGGACAAACCTGGGCACAGGGGTGAAGACTCCACTTCTGAAGACCCTCAGGAGGGCCCTGGGACTGCACCCCCTCACAGTGACTGGGTGGGGCTCAGAATGCCCCGATCCCAGGTGCTCCACAGGAGGGTGCCCTGGGCATGTGCTTTTGCATGGAGACCTTCCCGTTGAGTTCTCCAGCATTTATTATTTTTCTTCTTTTCTCTCTCTCTTTTTTAATTTTTTAAAAGTATTTGGAGACACTGTGAGGCTGCTCAACTCAGAAATGGGATAATCAATGTGAGCCAGAAGGCTGACAAAACTCTCCACCCATCTCCTTGTACAGACTATCATATATATATATATATATATATATCTCAAAGAGGAAGGAAGAGGGAGAGAGAGATAGAAACATCAATGATGAGAATCACCAATCGACTGCCTCCTACACGGCCACCACAGGTGATTGAGCCTGCAATCCGGGCATGTGCCCTGACCAGGAATTGAACCGTCACCTCCAAGGTTCATAGGTTGATGCTCAAGTGCCGAGTCACGCTGACTGGGCTGTACAGACTATTTTAGAGCAGACACTGGTGGTGCTGGGAGACCAGTCTGATTCAGGTCCCTGAGACAAGACAGCTGTAAACACCAACCAGGCTCTGAGGGAGGGCCCCTGCCTCATGCTAGGCCCCGAGGTGCTCTGCACACGGGACGACAGCTCCAGCCAGAGCCTGGGAGCAGCCCTAGGCAATGCCAGCCTGTGCCCTGGACCTGGAGGTGCAGGGGCTCAGGGCGGCAGGACCCACACCTGTCGTGATGACACAATCCACATCTCGCGTCTGGTGTTCCTGGCTAAAAAAGTCAGGTCTGGACGCTTCCAGCTTCTTGTCATAGCAGGGCATCACTGTCACGTGGTGGATCTTGTCGGGGGTCACATGCTGTATGGAGAGAAGTGGAACGTGGAGTCACTGCCTGACCCCAGCAGCAAAGAGGTCCTCTTAGGGTGAAACAGGGTGACCCCACAGGCACAGCCTGAAACAGCCGGGAGTGACCACAAGTCTGTGAGTGGGTCCCTGGACACTGCAGGTCTCAGCTCATCTTTCAAGACAATGACACCAAATCACTCATCGCTGGATGTCCGTTACCTGCTGCTGGGCGAAGAAGTCCTTGACCAGGGAGCCCATGACCTGCTGTGGGGACCTGGCGGTGCTGATGTAGGGGATGATGGCGCTCCCATGGGTCTTCTCGGCATAGCAGATCCAGCCTGAGGCCAATTTGGAACAAATGGGGGTGGCTCATAACTCACCTCTCACTGTGGGCTGTGACATGACATTCTGGGGGTGGACCTACTTGTACAAGGAGTCCCATCCCATTAAAGAACATCCCACTCTATTTCTAGCAGCCACGTGATTACTGTCTTGGGGGAACTGAAGTGACTACACGTGACTCTCAGAGCAGAGCAGCTCCTGCCAAAGAGGCCGTTCTGGGCTGACAGAACCCCCTCGCCCCCCCTCCAGCATTCCCACTACCCATATCCAGCTGATCTGGTCAGCAGTGTGAACACACCTGGGCAAGCAGAAGCCAGCACGGGCAAGGCCTGCTTGGAGCTGGCCTGTTCTCGGAATCGCTGCACAAACTCTCGCTGGCTCTCCAGGAGACTGAAGTTCCTCGAGAAGGCGGTATCAAACACGTAGTGCGCCCCTGCAAGGTGAGCACCCATGAGCCCCATGAGGGATGGCAAAGTGTGAGGTGCTGTTGACCATGCCCCCAGAAGCAGGGGGTCTGCCTCCCAGTGGCCACAGGAAGCACACAGTTCCAGTGTCACAGGACATGCTGTGCTGTGGACGGACAGTCTGTGCTGCTATCTGGGAAGCTTGCGTTTGACAAATGGCCTCCTTCATCTGCACTTAGCATCACCTAGGACAGTGGTCGGCAAACTGCGGCTCGCGAGCCACATGCGGCTCTTTGGCCCCTTGAGTGTGGTTCTTCCACAAAATACCACGTGCGGGCGTGCATGTACAGTGCGATCGAACTTCGTGGCCCATGCACAGAAGTCGGTATTTTGTGGAAGAGCCACGCTCAAGGGGCCAAAGAGCCGCATGTGGCTCGCGAGCCGCAGTTTGCCAACCACTGGCCTAGGACATCAGTCTGCACCAGGCTCACCCCAACCCCCTCCCTGCTCCTGGCATATAAAGAGGTCAGCCATTTGATCTGAGCCAGACCCAGAACGGGCCTGGGGAATATGCCTTGATGATGATATTCAGAAACAATAAGAGTGGGCGAATCTCAGATCTGGCAGAGTGCAGTCAGGATTCAGATGGCTTCCTCTTAAATGGCACTGCTTCCAACCATCAAGCAAAAACTTCAAGTTAAAGTCAAACTCATAATAGTTTCTGATACGTGTAAGTTCAGTGATTTGGAGGCGTGAAGAGCCCCCTCTCCCTGCCTGTGTTCCAAACTGTAGCACTTACACAAGGTTCCTCACCTACCTAGTTTTTTAAAGAATGCAGTTAACTTCTTGGCGGTGTCTGTAGGATTCAACTGAAATCTTGCAGCCAGTGAGGCGCTGGACTGGGGTGAGACTGAAATGACAACCAGCTTCTGCTGATCAGGAGCAGCTGTCTGTAAAGCGAAGGACACACCATTCACGTTGGAGTTTTACACTGATTCCCAGTGTGCCGAGCTGGCAAGAGGGCCCAGCTCGTCGGGGCATGCCGTTTTCATGTACACAGAACCCAAATTCAGGGCCTGACACTTCACTGTCAAAATACTGACAAGGAATTCTTTGAGATCCCACGGAGTAGACTTAATGTGGGGTCACTGGAGACGCAGGACTAACAGTACCAGGAGAGGAGCTGTCCTTGACAGCATGAATGAAGGATGCTGGGGCTGATGTTGGGTTACAGCAGAGTCTCGAAGACTGTCCACCACTTACCTTATTGGCATCTAGAATCTTCCGCAGCTCCTCATGGCTCTGCTGAGTGATGAGCACCGTCTCTGCTGAGGTGACACAGCCACTGCAAGCCAGACAGTCGTCCAGTGAGATTTTGGCCTTTTCCAGCTTCCGTGTCCCTCCGTCCTAGAAGCACAAGAACCCGGTAATGAGGAAAGAGAGCTCTGAGGATAGCGGGACCTCCCAGAAACCTTGATTCTCTTGCTCACACCACTGACAACCAACATGATAGTTAACTGGCTTTATGTATCATTAAATTTTAAAAGTTACTTATTACAGGAGTACTTATACTCATTCTAGATTTAAATAGCACCATCGAATTCTGACTGGTACAAAGTCAGCTGGAGGCTGGCGACTCTCCACAGGGGTCCCGGAGGGGTTGCTGGTCCCCAGGCATTCATGGGACCATGAGGACAGGAAAATGCCAAAGGCCAGGCTCTGAAAGAGGAAGAGAATGGCAAGGGAGAGGAGAAAGGAAGAAGGAAAGAGGGCAGAGGGAGGAGATGGTGGGGCCTGTGCAGTGGCTATATCTGCCCCGTGCCAGCACCTGGAGTTGAGAAAGACACGTGGACAGCAACAAATCAGACTTTGCCAAGCAGAGACCTTGGTATTCGAGTCCAGTATCCAGGCTGAAACTCAGTGACTCTTCTTAGATGCAGATGATCCCAGCTGCGCCCCTTTACCCCTTTTGCAAAAGCAGGCATGGTCTGAACCAAGGCCAGGTGAGCCACAGAGGCCGAGACTGGATCTCTCAGCTAAGTTCACTAGGCCTGCGCTTTGCACAAAGCCACAATTTGAGCTCAATACGTACTTTTAGAGTCAGATCAGCCTAAAGGCCCGGGATGCAATGCAGTACCAAGCAGGAGGCTGATGAGCTTCCCACCTTCCCTCCATATCAAGCACTGCTGCTCTGGACAGCAGGACACACTGGCACCCCCACCTCAATTAGGTCCCCTCATTCATGGGACCCCTCCTGAGGTGTCTTTTCCCTAAAAAGAACCCAGTCCCCTGTGCTGCAACAGGTGGGAGCCCTGAGGTGTTCACCCTCCTGCACCAAGTTAATAGCCAGCTTTTTCCCTGTAAAGGCTTGATCCACTGTCCATCCCCACCAGGAGTTACCTTCGGGCTCCTCCCCCTGCTCGGAAGGGTTCCTGGGCCCAGTACACCTGGTGCCTATAGTCCACGGGATGGCACAGAGTTCCAATGGCAGATAGGCGGGGCGGATATTTTGTTGTTGTTAATCCTCACCTGAGGATATTTTTTCCATTGATTTTTTAAGACAGTGTAGAAGGGAGGGAGAGAGAGAAAAGCATTGAGGTGAGAGACACATCAATTGGTTGCTCTCTCACGTGCCCAGACCCAGGCAGGGGATGGAACCTGCAACCCAGGTACATCATGTGCCCTTCACCCGGAATGGAACCCGGGACCCTTCTGTGCATGGGCTGTCACTCTAACCACTGAGCATACTGGCTAGAGCAGCAGGGTGAATTTTAACACCATTACGACAGGATTTTGTCATTGTTAATTATACAGGAAGTAGGTATTCACTAAGAACAAGGGGTCTAAATAGGAAAATCTTACGTAATTAGAACTCAGAGACAGAGACAGACAGAGGGGAAGATGGCAACTACCATCCCTGCAAAAAGAACCCCCGCTGCAGAACAAATCAAGCTCCATATTCAGCTTCTCCGTCCCCGGCCCCTCCCATTCCTGTTCTCTCAGGCTCCCTGACAGTCAGTGAATCTGAGCCGTGAAAAAGGACTGGCAGGAGTGGAAGGTCTCCTGGTCACTGCGCTTGTGACTGGATGGAATGGTGAAATGGGTTTCAGGTCATCTGGGCTAGAACTTACCTGACTCACTTGGAAGTAAGTCCCATCATCTTCAATGTGGATCTTGGCCACGCCACGTCCCAGCTTCTTGTCTACCTTCATGGGCTTGATGCAGTCCTACACCAGGGAGAGACCCCAAGCCAGGCCTGAGCGGGCACAGGCTCCTGAGGAAGAGGGGTGGGCTCTCCCCCTGGGCACAGGCTCTCACACCTGCGGGCACTGAGGGGCACTCTGCAGGTCACAGTCCACGTAAGGCTGGTGCTAACGGGGCCTGCATGCTAACCTGTCAGCAGACACTGCCAACTCTGACCTTTACTCTCCTCAGTGTGACCAGGAGACATGGCACACCTCCTCCCCCCACAGAGAGCCAGGGGCCAGTGTTACATTGGCTAAGAGGAAGCCTAGGAATTGGCAGGAGTGCTCTGTCTGCACGTCACCTCCCTGCCTAGTGCCCTAGAAAAAAGTTCATTTCTCTCCCCACCTTCCCATCTGCCACGTGATCACTAGGAGAACCTCGCTGGCCATGGCCTTCCTAAACATGACCAGCCCCAGGAAGACCCGGCAGGAGGCCTGTCCCGGCTCACCCCTGCCTAGGGGTGTTCCCCTCCTCCTCCTGGGACTCAACTATGGCCCCCAGTCCCGGGCCTGCACCGCGGGTGGCAATGGATGGGCAGGTACACCGGATAGGGACAGCACCCCTTTCCAAATGCAGTTGCCCATCTCCTTTAGGGGCAAGCTCTCTCCTCCAGGAGGGCAACGCCAGGGACCACACACCCGGACAGTCCCTGGGCAGCCACGTGGGGGACTCCAGCGGACCAGCTCCCCTGCTCGGGCGACTGGGGCGGGAAGCCTCCCCCGTTTGCACAGAGAAGCTGGGCAGGGTCTTCCCAACCCAATCCTGAGCCCGCCACTCCCCGCTGGGGGACTGGCGGCAACTGCCCGGCCCCCTCCGGCTTCCGTACACCCGCCCGTGAGCCCCAGGTGCAGCTTCTATGCCCCCGCCCCTCCCAGCCCTGTCCTCTCAGGCGCCCTGACAGGCAGTGAATGCGAGCCGTGAAGAAGGACGGGAGGATGCGGAAGGGCTGGCAGACCCCGCACTCCCCTAACCCGGTCGCCCCGAGGGCACCATGGTAACTGGCTTCTGCTTGTCTCTCTGGGCTGTGCGGGCGGCGAGCCCCGGGCCCCTAAACCCGCGGACTCGGCCTGGGGCGGAGGAATGGGGGGGGGGGGGGGGACGGCCCTCTCCGGCTTCGGTTCCCCTATATCAATCACCTCCCCGAGGGTCTCCACCCCATTGGGGAGAACTGAACCCTTTTACCTCCATACCAGTTGGTCATTATTGAATGCAAAAATTTACTCATGTAAATTCCCAGGCACTGCCTGTTCTGTGCAAAAGGCCCCAAAACCAATTCTTACTGGCTGAGGGCAACCCTTTGGAAAAGAGATGCAAATGCTGGATTTTAGAGGAGAGAAAACACGCCTGGGAGCTGATGTGTCTGAAATGGAAAAAGGGATCCAATTTTCCATAGGCAAAATATTGACAGCATCTGCACGGTGGAGCTTTTCTCTCTCTTAATGGCACTTATAATGGAGTGGAGGGAAAGTGACAAACAGCTTCACAATTTGACAGGGGTATCAGTGATGGCGAACCTATGACACGCGTGTCAGAGGTGACACGCAAACTCATTTTATTGGGTTGATTTTTCTTTGATAAATGGCATTTAAATATATAAAATAAATATCAAAAATATGTCTTTG